AACTTTGCAGATCACGGCATCCTGCTTGTCATTGATCTCATAAATGAGGTGATATCTCATATCTATTTGTTTGGATTTATGATATGACCCTGACTCCTTTGTTTTGGCAAAGATGTCCTCTATTCATAAGACAGTTTGATCTAAACATTCTCCTTAACTACTCTTACTATAGCTACATGCATATATTTTGACTATGAGTATGCAATAGTATTCTGCTTTGAACCCTATCAAGCTTACTGTCCTTATTCATATAGACACGAATATGCATCTTGATCAACATCTACAGTCATCATGCCTGTTTGGTAAACTTGCATCCGTATAAATTTTGACAACTTGTTTACTTTTAACACCATTAGCTAGAAATATTCCTTTAGTTCTTCTCAAGTACTCAAGGATCTGTACTTTGCAACTTTTAATATGTGTTCTGAATTTACATGGAACCTGTTACCCGTGCACAAGTCATATGCTACATTTTTCTTTGTACATATCATTGCACATATTATGGACCCTTTTGCAAAAGCATAAGGTACACTATCAATATAACTCAACTCTATTAGCTTTTGAAGGCATTGAGTTTTACAGAGCGTACTACCATGAAACATGGGAAAACATCCTCTATTAGAGTCTTGCTTCATGAACTTATCAAGGTCCTTATCATTATAAGTCTCTTGATTCATTCCAATCATTTTTCAAGATTCACTTCATGGATCTTGATTCCCAATATGTACTCAGCATCTCCTAAATCTATTATATAGAAACAACCCTCTAACCATTGCTTGACTTACTTTAGCATTGATATGTCATTTAATATTAACTGTATGTCATCTACATACATGAACAAGAAGACCAATTGCTCCCACTAAAATTCTTGTCTCTACAAGATTCCTTTTCGCTCTTTAAGGAAATCAAACTGTTTGATTGCCTAATCGAAACGAATGTTCCAACTCCCTGATGTTTGCTTCAATCCATTAAATGAATTTTTGAAGTATGCAAAACTTTCTTGGATTTCTGGATTTCAAAATTCTTAGGTTGTATCATATACATATCCTCCATCAAGAATATTCCATGAAGGTGATTTTGATCTCCAATGCTAAACTTCGTAATCGAAATAAAAAATCACTAGAAGAATCCGAATAGATAGGCTTACCCAACTAATAGGTTTGACCCTATTTGTAAGACTATCATGTACTAACACATCTTCACAGACATGGAGTCCATTATGGATTTCTTGGCTTTAGGCCATTTCATGAGTTGGCACTTATCCAAAGCTTACTTGTAGGGCATGGATTCCAACCATTCCAATAGGAAAATTTTAAAATCCACCATTTCTTAAAATTTCAACAAACTGTTTGTTTTGATCCCAAGTAACCTACAATATGTATGAGCGATAATAGAATTATTCTCTTCAACTCTTTGAAGCCTTTCATTCTCGTAGGACGATAGAAGTCTCGCTAGTTGATTTAGCTTGCTTCGACACATGTTTTTATCAAATTAGCTGATTTCATGTGCATTCGTCTCTGATGCAGTGTTATCCACATCCACTTGTTGCTCGTCTCGAATCTCATCGAAGATCTAACTTTACTCCCACTTGGATTTGTAGGAAGAGATTTCTTTCTATAAAGACCCTATCGCGAGCAACAAACACTTTGTTTCTACACGATTGTAGGAATAACACCTCTTAGTTTCCATGAGAAAACCCATGAAGAAGTATTTTCTGATTTAGGGTGCATTATGACATTTTTCATAACCCTTAATCCTGTTTAGAAAAGATAACTTTTGGAACATTTCCAAATCATAACTCTTATGATATATTTTCTACTGCTTTGGTTAAGTTTCCTGTTTTGTATATTCGCAATTGTCGTTGTAATGTATATCCTCAAAACGATATCTATGAATCATTAAATCTTTGATCGAACAATAGCAAGCAAATTTTATTTCCTTCTTCATAAACATAATGTTGGAATGTGACTCGAGAATCAATCGAGGCTTGGCATATAAGCTAAGGGGATGAATTACTTGTGTTAAGCAAGGAAGCATTGGATGGGTCAACTTAAACTGGAAATATCTCTCAAACTACTTGGAGTTTTGAGGTGATTAGAGTTGGAGGTGAAATATTTTTTCAAGAGCTTTCCAATGATAGGTCATAAGCTTAATTCCAATAAGAACCGAGGAAGTTATAGCTGTTTTACTACGAGTTAACTGTGCTGACGCGAATAGGAGATGCACGTCCGTGCCAAATATGGCACGTCCGTGCTGGGCATGTCTGTGCCTACCTGATAGCCTTTCCAAATCTGTCGGGGGTATAAATACCCATTAAGGGTTATTTTGTTTATCATCCCCAAATTGAGTGAAACATAATTAGAGCTAGGGTTCTTGTTCTTGAAACCCTTGTGCTTTAGAGTGGAAATTAGTGAGAGATTACTCTTGTAAACACTAATTATAATCAATACAATAATTCTCCTTGTTCTTTGGTGGGTTTTATAGTCTTCAAGTAATTGCTTGAAGAATTTTTCCACCATCCAATTTCTTGTCTCTTTTACCATAAAATTTCTTAATTGTTCTTGCTAATTACTTCAATTATCAACCATTTGCTCTAACAAATTGGTATCAAGAGCTAGGTTAGATCCTTGGGTAAAAATTAGGGCTTGTTCTTGGTTGATTTAAAATTGAAGGTATTTTGGCCATCGGAGGTTCAAAATTTGATATTGAGAAATTTGACAGGTCAATCAACTTTGGGTTATGGAAGTTGAAGATGAATGCCATTTTGGTTCAAAATGGCTTGGATGAGGCAATGCTTGGGACTAAGAAGAAGCCTTCGGATATGTTGGAGGAGGAGTTCAAAAAGTTAGAAAAGAAAGCTCTCTTCTTGATTTAATTGAGCGTTTCTAATGAGGTGTTGAGGGAGGTAGCGAAGGAAACAACGGCGGCGGGGTTATGGTTGAATCTTGAGTCGCTCTATATGACAAAATAGGTAACCAATCGACTTTTGTTGAAGAGAAAACTACATGAACTCAAACTTGAAGAAGGTATATCCTTGAAATCTCATCTTGATGAGTTTGATTCTTTAGTTATGGACTTGCATAAAATAGATTTTACTTTAGATGATAAGGATTTAGCTAGTACATCTTACCATGACGATTCGGCGGCGGTGGCTCAGAGTGATAGTGATGATTCAATTCTTCTTGTGGTTGAATCGAATTCAAGGTCCAATGACAAATGGATACTTGATTCGGGTTGTTCTTATCATATCACTCCCAATCGACATTGGTTCTCTACTTATGATAGTGTTCAAGGTGGAGTGGTGCTAATGGGCAATAGTGCGGCTTTCAAGGTTGCGGGGATTGGAATGGTTAAGGATCAAGATGTTTGATGGAATGGTCCGCACTCTATCAAATGTGCGTCATGTTCCGGATATGACTAAGAACTTGATCTCATTGGGCTCTTTGGATAACAATGGTTGCTGGTGCACTCTTGAAAAGGGTGAACTTAAGGTTGCTTTGGGGGCTCTAGTTGTGATGAAAGGCAAGAAGATTGGCTCACTCTATGAGTTAATCGGGTCGATGGTTGAGGGTTCGGCATCAGCGGTGTCTTCGTCAATGTCCGAGTCCAATAATACGAAGTTGTGGCATATGAGGCTTGGGCACATGAGTGAAAGAGGTTTATCGGAATTTTCCAAGAGGGGTCTATTGGGTAATCAAGCTACGGGTTCTATGGAATTTTGTGAGCATGTGTGTTCGGGAAACAAAGAAGGGTTAGCTTCAAGGCGGTTACAAATAGAACCAAGAGTACACTTAGGGATGGCAACGGGTCGGATCCATATCTAGATCCGTTTTTATACCCTGGATCCAGATCCGCTCCGGATCCGTCGGGTCCAAATTTGAGGGATCCATATCCATATCCCCTGGATCTTACGGATCCGGGTCCAAAACGGATCTTAAACGGATCCTACACATTGTACCTATTATTTAACAAAATATCTAGTTTTCAAGTAACAAACAATAAGATTAAGATACGATATATACTCATCCATAAAAAACAAACAAACTATTATATCCCACCCATCAGATAACAAACACTTAGATAAAGGTTCATACGAAAAAATAAAATGTAAAATCGAAAACTTGTGAGCAGAAAATTAATGAAAGAGATCCACTAATTTAGATTATGAGTATACCAGAAATAAGACTAGATAATGAGTATGAATTAGTTTGAACAATAATTAAATGACATTAAAATTTAATAAAACTAAAACGTAAAGTAAGGACTTGAGTATACTAGATTTTTTTTTTTTTTTTTTTTTTTTTTTTTTTTTTTTTTTTGGAAAATAAGATTTTATTACCAAAGAGAGAAAGTTACAACTTACAAAAGCTAAGTTATAACTACCACCAGAACACCACAAGACCTGAAAACAACAGGCCAACCCCAAAACCAGTTCTAGATCCAAACCTAGCCACCTTCTAGGAAGGGTTCTAGGAAGGGCCTATAACAACTGGACTCAGATTTCCGGCCACCTTCTAGGAAGGTTTCCGGAAACCAGGACCAGACAACAATACCAGCAATAAACAACAAAGCCAAACACCCAAAAAAATACCAAAAAACAACAATCAGAAGCAGACATGCCTGCAAACTGACCAGTAAACCAACAAAAACAAAAAAACAAGCAACAACAAAAGCAACAAAACTAGCACCATCATCAGACAACAAGGCACAGAGCAAAGGGCAGCAGCCAGCAGTGCACAGCCAGCAGAAACAGCAGTGCACAGAAGAACAAACAGCAGTGCAGCAGCAACAACCAGCAGTGCAACAACAACAAAACAACAGTGCAGCAGCAACAGACAACAGTGCAGCAGCAACAGACAACAGTGCAGCAGCAACAAACAACAGCAACAGACAGCAGCAACAAACTGCAGCAACAAACAGCAGCAACAAACAGCAGCAACAAACAGCAGTGCAGTAGCACAAACAGCAGAGCAGCAGCAACATCAAGCAGACAACAATGCTCAGCAGTGCACAGCAGCACAACCAGTAGAACACAGCACCAGCAGTGCAGAGACAACAAAGAAGACAGCAGCAACCAGTAGAAAACAGAGAGATACAGTCAGTAGAAAAAGAACAGCAATACAATAAAGATGCAACGGGAATCTCAACTTCAAGTAAATAAAAGCACCATCAGAACCCAACACCAAAAAAAAAAGAGCCAAACGAGCAACCAGAACAAGACAGATAATCTGAGTGAAAAAGAAACTAGAACGGAAACACTAGAAGCCAGAGACAAGCTCCTAAACAATCAAATATTTGCTTCACGCCGGGATTCTACAAACTGAATGAAAAACAATATCCCTAACTAGGGCATCAACAGATTTCCAGCAACCAGTAAAGAGAACTGCATTCCTTTGGATCCAAATACCATAAACTGTTTCAGTGAAGGCCACCTGGATCACTTTATTCTTCAATCTAGAACTTTTGCAGATTTTCTTCATCCAATTGACCTCATCACTAAACTGTTGAACATGCTTGGAAACATGTAAAATACCCAACACCTTGCTCCAAACCTTCCTAGAGAATTCACAATCAAAAAATAAATGCTGAACACTTTCATTGCCATTCAGACATAAGAAACACCTTGGATCACAAGAGATGTGCCATTGAAGCAACCTATCCTTAGTGACAAGCCTATTCCACAAAGCTAGCCACAAGATAAAAATACTTTTGGGAGTTGCTAAGTTATGGCAAGTAACTCTCTTCCAAGGAACTTTAGGCACTTGAGGCCTAATATCAGCATAAAGCTTCTTGATTTTCAACTTGTTTCCTTGTATGAAACCATCCCATCCCCCTTGATCATTCACAACATCTCTATAACTCAAAATCTTCTTCAAGAACCAAGAGCATCTAGCAGGGGTAGGGGTGGTCCAACAATCTTTATGCTTGAAATAGTAGATATGGACCCACTTAACCCAAAGATTATCAGCCTTGTGAGCAATATCCCAAAGTAACTTAGTGACTGCTGCTTTATTCCACTTAGGAAGAGAAAGCAAGTTCCATCCACCACAAACTTTAGGAAGACAGACATTATTCCAAGCAACCAAAGACTTCTTAGCAGGGGCAGAGGATCCAGTCCAAAGAAAGCACCTGAACCTAGCCTCAATCTCTTTCAGAATTTTCTTCGGAAGAATAAAAATTTGAGCCCAATAAGTCTGGATACCAAACAACACACTCTTCACCAATTGAAGCCTCCCGGCATAAGACAAGTGTTTAGCCATCCACCCTTGTATTCTAGCAGTGACCCTCTCCACCAAAGGCCTACATTGAGCATTAGTAAGCTTTTTGGAAGAGAGAGGGACCCCAAGATACCTAAAAGGAATGGTACCTTGAGAAACACCAAAAAGCTCCCTCAACTCTTTCTGTACATCAATAGAGACCCCTCCAAAATAGACTTCACTTTTATCAAGATTAGCAGAAAGCCCAGAGGCACCTGAGAATTTTGAGAAGGCTTGGAAGAGAAGCTTAACAGAAACACTATCAGCTCTAGAAAACATCAATAAGTCATCAGCAAACATCATGTGAGTTAGGTTTAACTTTTCACATCTAGGGTGAAAGTTAAAATCAGGAGATAACCTAAGCTCATCAAGGCATCTGGAGAGGTATTCCATACCAATAGCAAAGAGAAAGGGAGACATAGGGTCACCTTGTCTTAACCCTTTCTTAGCTTCAAAGGGGGGGGGGGGGCAGGAAAACCATTAATAAGAATAGAGTAAGAGACAGAAGTAAGATAATTCCAGATCCAATCAACAAAACTCTGAGGGAAACCAAGCTTCTGCATGACAGTGATCAAGAATCCCCACTCAACTGAATCATAATCTTTCTTCAAATCCACCTTAACTATACACCTGGGAGAGATAAATTTGTGATCGAGTATACTAGATTTCATAATGTGAGTCTGACTTGCGAGCTTGTGCTCCCCGGAGATGATGGCTCAGACTCACAGTCGCCGGCAATATAGGCTGAATCCGCTAGTTTTTGGTCGGCGGTAGAAAAAGAAAGAGGAGAGAGAGTGTGTTGTGCTTGGAGTTGTTGTTTGGGGGTTTTTAGAGACAGACTCAAATTCTCATTTACAAATGTGGGCTGGGCTTTAAAAATTATCTTATGTAAAAAAAATAAACAGGTAAACGGATCTGGATACAGATATTTCGATAAGACCTGTATCCAGATCCATTTTTAAGTGTAGGATCCGTATCCGACCCGGATCCATTGGGTCCAAATTTTAAATATCCATATCCGTGGAAACGGATATGGATCCACAGATCCGGGTCGGATACAGATCCATTGCCATCCCTAGGTACACTTGATTATATTCACTCGGATTTGTGGGATCCTTCTAAAAAGCCATCCTTGGGTGGTCACCGCTATTTGCTCACCTTTATTGATGATTATTCACGAAAGGTGTGGGTTTTCTTCTTGAAAAACAAAGATCAAGTCTTTGAGGAGTTCCAAGATTGGAAAACCTTGATTGAGAAACAAACCGGAAGGCAAATAAAGAGGTCGTGAACGGATAACGGGTTTGAGTTTGTGGAGAAAGAACTCACCAAGTTTTGCAAGAAACTTAGCATTGCTTGTCATCGCACTTGTACTGGAAGACCACAACAAAATGGAGTGGCGGAAAGGATGAATAAGACTTTGCTTGAAAAGGCTCGGTGTATGTTGTTCCAAGCGGGGCTAAGCAAGGGATTTTGGGCTGAAGCAGTGAAAATGACGGCTCATGTGGAAAAGCGATCACCACACACCGCTCTTGGGTTAAAGACAACGGAGGAGATGTGGTCGGGTTCGCCAGGAGATTATTCCGGATTGAGAGTCTTCGGTTGTCCGGCTTATGCATATGTGAATGACGGGAAGTTTGAGCCTAGAGCGAAGAAGTGTATCTTCTTAGGATACACGGATGGGGTCAAGGGTTATAGACTTTGGGACCCTAGAACATCAAGAATCATCACTAGCCGAGATGTTACCTTTAATGAGTCCGTATTTCTTCAAAAGGGTGATACTTATTCTTTTGAGCTTCCCGAGAAGCAGGTGGAGAATGATGACGGTGTTGATACTCATGAGAAGGTTGATGAAGTTCTTGATGATGATGGTGGTGTAGAGACACCACAAAAAGGAGGAGATGTTCCTTTCACTTCCTCCCCTTGGAAGGCCACCACACCTAGGAAGGAACAATCTTCCCACCAAGTGCAAAAAACAAGCCTTGCACATGGACGGGCTAAGAGGCCTATAAAGCCTCCGGTCCGGTTTGGTTTTGAGGAGATGGCGGCCTATGCATTGAATGTTGCTAGTGATGTAGTCGATCTTGAGCCATCTTCATATACCAAATCAATGGAGTGTGTTGACTCCAAAAGATGGCAATTGGCCATGGAAGAAGAGATGGAATCTCTTCACAAGAATCAAACATGGAAGCTTGTAGAGAAACCACGGGGCAAGAAAGTTATTGATTGAAAATGTGTCTACAAGTACAAAGAGGGAATTCCGGGGATTGAGGAGCCAAGGTGCAAAGAAAGAGTTCTAGCACGTGGTTTTAGCCAAGTTCTGGGAATCGACTACAATGAAATTTTCTCACCAGTGGTAAGGCATACTTCTATTTGTTCACTACTTTCTCTTGTTGCTATGCATGATTTGGAGTTGGAGCAATTAGATGTGAAAACCGCATTCTTGCTTGGAGAGCTTGAGGAGGAAATCTACATGCAGCAACCGGATGGTTTTGTTGTTGAGGGTAAGGAGGAGCATGTATGCTTGTTAAAGAAGTCCTTGTATGGTTTGAAACAATCACCTCGGCAATGGTACAAACGGTTTGATCAATGTATGTTGGGGCATGGTTTCTCCCGAAGTGACTATGATAGTTGTGTATACTTGAAGAAGGTGAGTGATGAAATTTTTTTGTATCTTTTTCTATATGTTGATGATATGCTTGTAGCGGCGAAAGACCTGTCTAAGGTCAAAAAGGTGAAATAAATGTTAAAGGGGGAATTTGAAATGAAGGATTTGGGGTCGGCAAAGAAAATTCTCGGCATGGAGATCATAAGAAACCGTGAGAGACGGAGTTTGTACTTATCCCAAGAAAAGTACATTGAAAAGGTCTTGGAGAGATTTCATATGAAGGATGCTAAGCCTGTTTCCGTTCCTTTAGTATCTCATTTCAAATTGTCATCCTTGGATTCTCCAAATTCCAAGGAGGACAAGGAGTTCATGTCATCCATCCCTTACGCCAATGCGGTTAGGAGCATTATGTATGCAATAGTTTGTACTCAACCGGACATTGCTCAAGCCGTAAGTGTGGTGAGTAGGTACATGGAAAATCCCGGAAAGGCACATTGGCAAGCCGTCAAGTGGATCCTTCGGTATTTGCGGGGTACTTCTAGCACTTGTATTTAGTATGGGCGGAATGAAGATAGCTTGATTAGTTATGTGGATTCCGATTATGGTGGTGACTTTGAAGATCGGAAGTCCACTTCGGGGTATGTGTTTTGCCTCGATGGTTCGGCTATTAGTTGGAGGTCGGCATTGCAAGAAGTGACCGCCTTGTCAACAACGGAAGCCGAATACATGGCTTTAACGGAGGGGTTCAAAGAAGCCCAATGGTTTGGTGGCTTTGTTGGAGAGTTGAGGTCGGAGAGATGTGTTCCTATGATGTATACTGATAGCTAAAGCGCTATACTCTTGGCTAGAAATCAAAATTCTTTTCATAGGAGGACAAAACACATCAATGTGAAGTATCACTATATTCGAGACACTATTGCTAGTGGCAAGGTAGCACTAGGGAAGGTGCATACTTCGGAGAATCCGACAGATATGTTAACTAAGCCTTTGCCGGTTGCAAAGTTTGAGCATTGCTCAAACTTGGTTGGTTGTTATTAGCTATGTTATTTTTGACACCCTTGTAAGGGTGGTTACACCTTTTGTAGGCGTTTTCATCTTTGTTGAAGATGTTGGTTACATCCGTTGTTTTTCGGATGGTTGTTGTGCTTACTTGACATGATTGATTATCTTGTTAAGGTGGAGAATTGTTTGAATGTGACTCGATAATCAATCGAGGCTTGGCATATAAGCTAAGGGGATGAATTACTTTTGTTAAGCAAGGAATCATTGGATGGGTCAACTTATAATGGGCATATCTCTAAAACTACTTAGAGTTTTGAGGTGATTCAAGTTGGAGGTGAAATCTTGTTTCAAGATCTTTCCAATGATTGGTCATAAGATTAATTCTAATAAGTAACAAGGAAGTTATAGCTGTTTTACTACGAGCTGTATGTGCTGACGCGAAAAGGGGATGCACGTCCGTGCCAAATATGGCACGTCCGTGCTGATGCAGCTCCATGTGAGCAATAGATACTGGAATGAGTTATATGGGCTTGCACGTCCGTGCCATATTTGGCACGTCCGTGCCTACCTGATACCCTGTCCAAATCCGTCGGGGGTATAAATACCCATTAAAGGTTATTTTGTTTATCATCCCCAAATTGAGTGAAACACAATTAGAGCTAGGGTTCTTGTTCTTGAAACCCTTGTGCTTTAGAGTGGAAATTATTGAGATATTACTTTTATAACCACTAATTATAATAAATACAATCATTCTTCTTGTTCTTGGGTGGGTTTTATAGTCTTTAAGTAATTGCTTGAAGGATTTTCCCACCTTCCAATTTCTTGTCTCTTTTACCATTAAATTTCTTAATTGTTCTTGCTAATTACTTCAATTATCAACCATTTGCTCTAACACATACACTTTAATAGTAATGTTTATGGATTGTGAATTAATTCAACAATTCCTTTAGATGATCATTCCTTTCGAGTTAAATATTTATCACAACAAACATATTGTGGTGTTAAATTGTTTATCTCAAACTGATTTTACATTTCATTTTGAATTTTTTACATTTCAATGTTTCCAAGCTTTACTTCATTAAGCAATTATCGATATATTTACTTAAATCGTTAGTAAAAGCAATGAAGTAGTTAAATCTCTTTGCTAATTTTAAACTTAATGGTCTACATACATCATATGTATAAGTTCCATAAGGTCATTTTAGCTTCTTTTACCCTTTCTACTAAAAGACAACTTGGTCATCCTACCTTATCAAGCATGACTTCTAATTCTCAAGTGATTCATAATCATATAAGAATAAGAATCCATCCATAACTTTGGATGTGCACATAGTTAATGCGGCCTAACCTTACTTGTTATGATTAAGTGTAATTTGAATCATCTAAATTTTACTTTTGTGATCTACTTATATCAATACCATAAAACAAACTGAAAGCAATTTATTACCTTGGTCATGGGTCAACACTTGTCCAAACCAAGTAAGCCAAATCAGTATTCTAACAAAACTGAATTATTGTCTCATCAAAATTGGAAATTGTTCTAAAATCATGATAAACTAATCAAAATTTAAAACTATGAAGCTATCTCTGGCCACTCAAATACTTCTAGTGCACCTTCAAGCTCTATCTCCTTGCTAGCTTCACTTGTTTGCAGTTCCTGCGTAACATCACAATGTTAAGCACTACAACTTGGTATCACATACTGTTTTGGGTGTTGTTGTCCCTCGGGAGAGCTACGACTCAAAGACTGGTCGGTGAGCGCCTGTACCTACAAAATAACGGAGACTCTAGGTGGTTGGAGTTCCGCCTCCGA